TACACTTGATGCAAGAAATTGGTAGTAAAAAATAATGTTTACTTTATCGTTCTTCATAACATTAAAGATATAGAACACGTGGTTCCGAACCTCCTGTGTATTCATCTTTTCGAACTGAACCATCAGTTTCTTCATCATTTTCATAAATATTTACACAATAATACTTGTAATCGTGTAGTAATGAATGAATTATTAAAATAAGATTAGCCCTTCTCCATCTTTAGGAGTATTGAAAACGATCTTGGTATACATTTTGACGCCTGAATTGTTAAAATAAATTTTTCTCGAAATTATCGTTTATCGTCAATATTCGAGGGGTTCGATTAAAACGATCAGTCCCTGATCGAAATTGTTCTTCCTCCACAGGGAACGAAATCTCTTAATAATCACTCCCCGTCTCGTGTATAATCGAAACCTTACCCGATCCTCCACCGATTCCGGCTATTAAAGGCGTCACGGTCCGGTCCGCAGCACGTAACCGGGGGATGTATACCGTCGATTTACATAAGCGGTATCGTTCGACCGATCCCTCAATCTTGTTTAAACCAGGGATGGGGGGAGAGACCTTGGGGAGCTCGGAGGAGTTCAACTTTTCGAGTTCGAACTTTTTCTCATTTTTTATCATTACCTCGATAAAACAAGAACCGAACCGGCTGGTTTTGATGTCAGTCGCGAAACCGATCTCTTCCCATCGCTACAGAAGACGCTGGGCACCCATTTTTCTACGACGACGACGATCGTTACTTTAATTGCGACCGTATAATTAACGAAGGGGAGCAGTCGTTAGCCAGGCGTGACGTGTACAACCGAGACGGGGTCCTCGTTAAGACGCTCGTCTGAGTGCAATTATATCAGTATATTTCGCGAGACCAGTTGGAAGAAGCTAGGGTCTGGCAACCGATTCGAATCGTCTGTCGGACGATCCGTTTCAGAAAAATCGCGATGGGTCTTTGAAGTGGAAAATCGTTGCCAATAGAGGATTGTCTAGGCTCCGCTTAGGTTTCAATGGATTTTCATCCTCCTTTTTTTGCTTTGGGAAAGTTATAGGTTACAGTTGTGATATGTAAGAAAATGGAATTTGAAGGAGATCAGTTTCTTTAACTCATTAGCCGTATTATACAGGGTGGCGTGTAGAGCTGGTGGTACAACTGGGTAGAAGGTGATTTAGACGTCATCCCCACCACTGGGCGTTTGACTGATTCTATGGGGACCTCTTTCCCCTCCGCCCGCAGTGGTGGGGATGACGTCTGACCCTTCTAACACTCATCGATGATTTACTGTATGGTATAACGAGCTAAATACATCGACGCAAAATGAATTAGCCAGCGTTCATCCGTTTCACCATCCCTCTTCTCCTCGAATTTCACCGGACAAACTTATCGACAGCGTCCCCAGAAGTGAAACGCAGCAAAACGTTCAGAGGTCAGCCAATTTCGCGGCGTGTATCACGATGCTCGCGACGATCAAGGCACCAGGCGATCGAGTCGCGATGACGAGAGAGAACAAGTTGTAGATCGGGGACTGGTATTTTGGATGGCTTGCAAACGGAAGCGAAAAAAGTTGTGGAAGAACGCCTGAGGGACCGTGCGTACCCGTTTGGGTCCTCGCGTCCCGCCAGCATGGCGTAGCGGGAGGACGAAGCACCGAGGCGGATAGACAAAAAGCTCCGACTGAAAGGAGAGTGGAGCCCAGGGGCGCAATGCGGTAGCGTGTGGGCTAAGCGCGAGAGCTTAGCGGATCAACGTCGAGGCCCTCGAGAGCGTTCGGTTCAAAGATCGGAGCTGGTGTCCAAGGGGTCCCAGACGGATTAGTGGGTAACTCGAAGAACGGCCCTGGCGACGACGGTGGTGGTTTCCGGCGATGATCGGATACAATCAACACAATACTGGCTACAACAAGCTGTTCACTCAGGTACTTGGTACAGACTGGTGATTTCTACATTTAGTCGCTGTATTTTTAGCTTGGATTGATAATGATTATTCGGAGGTCTGCTGTCGAGGGTGATTCGATAGACTCGCGGAAAGAAATTCTTCGAACGATTGACCTTGACTTTCAGTAGTAACCGTGGAATAGAATTTTATTGTACTTGTAAATTGAGACACTGTAAATGGACAATGAGGAATGTATTGATGAAGGATCATGGATCATGCACAGAGTTAAGAGGGATACAGTGACTCACAAGTTTATAACGATGTCACTTCTAGTTGACCAAATTATTTAGAAAAATACGGATTTTATTTCGATATTACGAAAAATGTATCATGACAAGATGATAAAAGTAACGATAAGGAGAATATATAAATAGAAATTGCATATAATTGGTATTTGAAAAGTTTGTGAAGGAATATGTAAGTCACTGTAGTATAAGGCATTGTATTTTCCTTGAAGCAATTCAGATTTCTAAGGGAGTATAGAAGAAAGGGTTGAGTGAAAGTCAATTTGAAAGTGGGTCAATCATCTGCCAGGTCGAGACTCTTAAGCCAACCGAGTCGGTCAATCTTCAGGAATTGTTCGGATGTTATAATTAAGACTGTTATTTAAATTTTGTAAAACAGAATCGTTTGAAAATTATTTGATATTACTGTTAAGCAATGTCTTCTTCTTTTTCTCGGTTTTATAAAGGGCCCTCTGTGTGGCCGCCACGCGTCATAGAAGTTTTCCATTAATCAGCCTGGCGTGAAATAAAATCGGCGAGGCGTGTTATCGTTGCAGAGGCTCGATCCTTTGCGTTGCAATCTAAATCGATCTGGTTTACGTTTTCAGCGTGAAACCGAGCGTTTCGGGTATGCTCCGTTGCCTCCGTGGCTGCTGTTTTCATCCTCGTTATAGACACATTTTTTTTTTATTAGTTGTCGGCACTTTATTATTTTGTGTATGCTATTCGTTTATTCGGTCGCGGTGGTCGATTACTGTCAGTCAACTGCTTTACTGAAAAGCTTCTTCGCCCGATTGTGTAAAACCATCCTCGGTTTTTTAAGGTCTCGCGATGGGGGCGAGCAAGGTCACGCCAGCACGCGTAGACAAATTTACACAGTCACGCACGAGAAACAGCCAGAGGGAGACGATTAAGTAAAGGCCGTTGGCATGGTTACGACCCTCGGCCGACTGAATTCATTCTCCGGAAGAGAAAAATTCCTTTCGGTTGTAAGGATACGGTAGAGATCCACCACGGAGACCGAATCGGCCTCCAGAAGCTTCGTAGTCCAAGAAAATTCAAATATTCCCGCCGAAATGCATATGCATGTCTCTTCTGTCATTCAATTAAGCGTCTAATTACGGGAACAGAGGCTTCGACTTTCAACATGGTGGATCAATATGTCAATGTCATCGGTAGGAAGAGGGGTTGGGGTGAGAGGGGAATCGATAAAACTGCTACAAATTATGTTTTGCCCGGCTGGATTTACCTTGTTTACGAGGCGACGTAGATAAGACTTCGACGATGGACGGTGGCCGAGTCGATTAATTCGAACGGGAATTAGTCGAGGTCCCTTCCGTTGCCACATTGTTGCCAACAGTCAGACGATACACAGAGGGTCTTCCCCGAGACAGTTTGGCCGAACGTTCTGCGCGCTGACGTAACGAATGGCGTCGCACTGTCGTATAGATAGAATCCTAATTTTTGTCGGGTATAATTTCTGACGCAAGCGTTAAATTGATGCTGTTTTGCTTAATCGCGACACTAATATCTTTGGAATTACCGCGAACCGGCGACACTTTGAAATAGATGTGTCCGTTTGGTACGAGAAGTACACAATATTAGTTAAAAGAAATTTACTGCGTATAATAATTTTAATCATAACACCTTTATATGTATGTATATTCATATTTCGTCAAGGTATATAAATTTCATCATGCTAACGTACATCATAGTTCCAAAAGTACAATCAATTTGTTACTCAAAGTTATATTTCAAAGATTACAATGTTACTAAAATATTTATCGGTGTTATTTTCAGTTCCTTAGGTATCAGAAAGCATAATTACCGATAAACAAGATACATCATAATACTTTTGTTTCACTCGAAAGAAACATACTGCAAGTATGTAGAATGTAGAGGGAAATCATTGTGTCTGACCAGGCACGGTTTGTTTCTACTGCGACCATCTTCACTGGTTAACGCGCGTTCAAGGAAACTTCTCGTTTGTTCAACGCATTCCACGCCAGAAATACTCTTTTCACGATGAATTTCCAACAAGAATAAACTGTTCTTCCTAAAGTATTACGCGATTAAATCCTCACGGAAGCTCTTTAACAGCAGCCCCGGCCAAGTACGCGCGACAAATTTCGTTCTTTGAGGGAATCTTCCCATTCAACGCGCCCCGGCTGCTTCGAGTCGAATAACAAATGATTATATAAACTACTACTCAGAAAGACTCCATAGAGACCGGTTCTCCTTTTAAACTAATGGCCCCGGACATTGAGGAAAGCCCTCGAGGAACATCTCGATGGTTTTCTCGGACAAAACGTCTGGCGAAAAATCTCGCGAAATCAGACAATTCGACGGTGGGTAAAAATTTCACCGTTGAATGTGGAACACGGTGTAACGACCAAGCACGGTGTTCCAACTTTCAGATTATAGTCGTTCACCTCGTTTGAGGTGAATCGATAAGGAGATAGGAGTCAAGGAACGTGAAAGAATAGGCACTGTGTGTGTATGCCACCGAAAGACCGTCGCGTCGGTTTTGTTATACCGCCTGGAAACATACCACGCCAAATCGATCCCCATTTACGACCCACGTCTGGACTGTGATGGAATCAGAATGTGTTCTTATCTGTGAAAAATTGGATCTGGGTTCTCGAGTCATCAATCCACTGCTTTCGATCCTTTTACGGGGTAAAAAACACTAGCATTTCACTGCTGCGAACTATAATGATGGCGATACATTTGAATTGTATCGATATTTCGTATCAGTAGATATTGATACCTGAAGAAAGGATCTAATAATAATATTCTCAATTAAAGAACGTAATAACACGAGGGTTGTTGTTTTCCGTTTCAGGGCTCGGCAGACTCGAACTACTCGCAGCCGAGCTCGGATCTCTCGCTGGACGAGGAGAAGGAGAGCTTGCGTCGCGAGAAGGAGAGGCAGGCCCTCAATCAACTTGAAAAAGCCAGGGTAAGTCATTGATCTTTCGCGTGCTCCAGTTTCCTTTCCTTTCCTTTCCTTTCCAAGTCCTCTACACCCGTCCCTCGCGCCAGGGGGCTGTTTTTCCGTGCCGCTGGCGGGCGGAGGGCCTTTCGTAAATCGTCTGGTATCGATCGACGACTTCCGAACGGGCGTCACATTGCCTTCGACGCGACGGGCCAGCCCTCCAGAGAGTCGCCGCCGGCGACGGAATGAAAAGCGTGTCAATGAATACGCCGCGGCCCAGACTAATGAGATTTCGTCCCCCTCCGAAACCAATTAGACGTCTCCGCGATCCTTTGTCCCGACGATAGATGCGGGATGCATTGTAGTTGCGCGTACAGAACGCCTCGATGATATTATTGCCTTTGATTACGGATAAACACACCGACGATAGTCGATCTGTGTCGCTCGAGGCCGTTGATCGAATAATTTCTTTTTGCTGTTAATCTACCGGTTAATCGCTTCTGAAGCAATTTTTCATGAATAGAATAAATCCTCGATGAGTGTTCGAAAGCTCCTCGGCACTGAAAATGAAATATTTCATAAACGAATAGCCATATGTGGCTGAAACAAATATCATTGGTTTCAGAATTCCAAGCTGCGTTAAACCTCGTTAAAAAGTCAGCGTTACACCTGAGAACTTCTTGTCAGTGCTGAGAAGCCTTCGAACATTCATTTTGGATTTACTGTATTTACTGATTTTTCCACTTTTCTCGAGACTTTGATGTCCTTTGCGTTGTAATGTACAGTTCTTGAAGAATTGTAGGGAACAGATTTAGATTGTATGTGATCAGTTGAACTGTAGAATAAATGAATATCGATTAACTGTCTCCCAATCGAGGAGTACGGTATCATAATACGCACGATGACCTACCCTATCGATTTGTCACGCTCTTATTCTTTATTGATACGGCGAGCTGTCACGCGGATCGCGCTGACAATGCGCCGACCATCCGTGATCCATCTCATCGGCTTTTACTTTACGTATAAGTTACGGTTGTGCAGGTGTCGCGTTTTTTAAAGAGGTTATAACGTTGCTTAATAAGAACGTCAATATCGTGAACCATGACATTTATCGCGTTTTAAAAAATTCACAAATGATACCAAATCCCTGGTTTGTCATTTCGTAATAAATATCTACCGTGGGAAAATTTATTTAGAAATATACCGATACTTTTGCATCGGCTACTAGAAATCTTGTTAATAGAATTTTCTGTGAATTATTCAGACGAAACCGGTAGCGTTTGCAGTGCGGACCAATGTGAGCTATGACGGATCCGTCGACGACGATTCGCCGGTGCATGGCTCGGCAGTCAGCTTCGAAGTTCGCGACTTTCTGCACATTAAGGTAAATCTATATACAATAATCTATCGAAATATCCACACGTTATACTTTACTTCAACTACCTTCGATACAGTGACTCTTATTGCTTCAAACAATTAGAGAACATAACACAGTAAATTATTGATGAGTGTTCAGACGTTATCCCCACCACTGGGGAGTTCTCCATGAAATCAGTCAAGGGTACAGTGGATAAACTTCAAACACTCATCGATGATTTATTGTACCACCATGGTAGAAGAAAACTTAATTCACTGTTCGAGCCCATAAGGTGATCTATTCGTGTGATGGCGATAAATCACATATGATTTTTCTCACACGCGTGAAACATTTACCAGATGTTGATCCAAAAGTCCGATGTTAATCATTATATACTATATCTTGTAGGAGAAGTACGACAACAACTGGTGGATAGGCAGGCTCGTGAAAGAGAACTCGGACGTCGGCTTCATCCCATCCCCGGTGAAATTAGAAGCCCTGAGGCAGCAGGCGAGCGCCGCGCGTGGCACAAAGGGACTGTACTCGGCGCGCGGGGGGTCTTCAGGGAACCTTGGCGAGAGTGGTATGCCCTCACGTGGTTCCACACCACCTACACCAGGTATCCTAGCACGTCCTTCTTTCTTTCCCCGTCCCTGACAAACACCACGGTGTACCGAGCTGTTCGGGATTATTCTCTTCTCTCATCTTGACCGATCGATGCCTGACAAAGAGAAAACAAAACAGACCCCGGATGGAACGTTTCTGCGGCGAAAGATAAAAGAAAAGAAACAGACAAACAAACATGAAAAATACACGGAAACTTGATCAAACAATTACGCTTGTGGCCTTAAGTATTACAAGAACATTCAGACACACTCTAGGTAGCTTTCGTTTTTTTCACACGCGAGCTTTGTCTCTCCCTACACCGCCCTTTTGCCCTATTAGTTGCTAGGTTTAAGCTGGCGATGGTCGACAGTGATAGTTAGATAGTTAACAGAGAGTTCAGTTGACGTTGAGTGGATCGTGGGAGAATTTTGTCTGAAAGGTTGTAGCAGGATTGTAGGGAGTGAAATTTGAAGCGTAACTTCAACATCTCGTTGATGATCCATACACGATTAATTCTCAGCGTCAATTGTCCATCGCTTCTGTTCCAGTCAGATTCAACTACGATTATATCCATCGCTAATCACCACCAGCAGTCGACACACACGCCCCTCACGTACACACCCCGTGACACTTTAGTACCGCAGTAACACAATTTTTAGTAGCTGCTAGTAACAGGAATGATACCAAATCGATACCAAAAATGACTCCTTTGGGAGTCTTTTATGGCGGAAGCAAAATTTCGAATTCAAATATCTCCGAAATGAAAGGATGGTTATTAAAAAAGCCTTTTAACGTTTAACTTCAAAAACTATTGCATCATGCAGTAGAGACCCTGAGAAGTATCCCTGAATTTTTTCAGTTTGTTTAACTATAAAATTAAAAAATTAGATCTAGACCTAAACAATACGGGCGGTGACAGAAGCAGTCAAAATAACGGGGTTCACGTAGGGTTAAGAATTATCTTACTCACATAACCAAGTGACGTCCACACGATTGCATTTGGTATCAGTCCTGAGAGCTTCACTGATCTCGGGATAAAGTGCATCGACTTAGTCACCCTAGGTTCTTAGATTGCATCGCGTTTAAAGCTTCTCGCTAGTTTCCTTGAGAGAAAGAGGGACACTGATCGTTGCACGGGACCAAAAACGGTACCGTCGATTAATCGTTCACTTCCATTCTCCTTGACAGGTGACGACAGCGACAGCGTCGGGAACGTGCGTGGCGGCAAGGCGACCTTGACGACGCCCCCGACGAAGGAGAAACGGAAGAACTTCTTCAAGAAGCCGGTAAAACGATCACGACCTGTCCCGCCAATGTTTGTGACCGCTCGATCATTCGTGTACCCTTTTGAACGTCCAGCCTGGTTATAGTTTTTCTTCGATCTGGTTTTGTTAGTCGAACAAAGTTCGACGAAGTTTCACGCGATAAAAAGATCACACTGGAATATATCATCACATTAACACGTTCACGCCGGCGTGTACCATCGGTGGTTCACATACAGTATGAAGTAAGGCATGAATAAGAGCGCCGCCCCACGGCGAGAAACACAAACTCCAGCGCCGGCGTGAATAAATATTGATATTTGAATCGAAAAGTATCGATACTGTACCGCCCATCACTAGTCTCGTCCACGTTCGTTCGCATGTCAAACCAAGTGATACAACGCGTTGTTTTACGATCTCAATAAATTTCTCGCGGATTTGGCAGAGATTCCTACGTGCCGATAATGCTCGTGACGTGGACGAGGGCTTTCGCGTCTAAATTTATCAGTCGGTGCTAGAAAATATCCGTAGGCCACGCGAAGACTAGCAGATTTATTTCTGTGAGAATCGCCGCTGGTATGTGTGTATGTGAAATTGTAAACTATCTGTGCATCGTGGTATCTGTTGAAAAAGTACGCCGTGCACACATCGCACCCTCGTAACTCTCTCGAGATGAGTTTATGTAATAATTTTCGCGTGTGCTTTCAACGATTGTCGCGTACTGAAGGGGAACTGCTGCTTCTTCTTCTTCTTCCTTCTATCCCTCCTTCTTGCTGACGACACTCGATCGTTTTGGACCCGATGGCTGCTTTACGAACAGGTGGAGAATAAACGTCTTTTCATCTTTATGTGTCAGTTATGTGTCGATGTAAGTAGCTGTTTCTAGCATCGATCGATAATTGCGGTGAGACTGTACAGTTGGTCGCTGGATTACATCATCTCATGCAAGCACGGAGACTCTTTTTCCTTTGACGAGTAGATCAACAAATGTATCTTTGAATTCCGAGTGCTGGTAAATTGGTTCCAAGCTGTTGGATATTGAACTATATCTTCGTTCTGGATTACAATGGAAATGGCATATTGTACTGGTAGATTAGACGACAGCCAAACAGATTAGTCTATAAGAGGTCTTTGATAGGATAAGTCGATAGTTAACCAGACACTTCTTGGCCAAAGCGCCTTTGGAAGCTGACGAGAATGTCTTTGGCTCTGCAGGGGGGTAGGTCACGTGTTAACGTGGCCATTAATTAGTTTTGATATTTATGATATTGCGATCCGTGCTCACAAAGTTCTGTGTAAGTGAGACTATCTCGTGGCTGATCCTGGCAGAGCCGGGCACGTCTTGATTACTTAGGCTAACACCTTGCCTCGCTTTTGTCCAGGAAACAACCACGCCGTATGACGTCGTACCTTCCATGAGGCCGGTAGTCCTGGTGGGTCCTTCGTTGAAGGGTTATCAGGTCACAGATATGATGCAGAAGGCGTTGTTTGATTTTCTGAAGCATCGATTCCAGGGCAGGTCAGTGAAAACTCCAACGTCGTATGGATTCGTCCACTACATGGAACATATTGCTATTATTTCTTATTATTTCAGGATAATTATCACCAGGGTGGCGGCTGACATTTCGTTAGCGAAGAGGTCCTTGCTGAACAATCCAACGAAAAGAGCGATCATGGAACGATCTACCAGCCGGAGCAGCTGCCTGGCGAAGGTTCAAACGGAAATCGAGAGGATCTTCGAGCTTGCCAGGACTCTCCAGGTACTTGATCAATCAGCAATATACTCAAATTCTTCTCTAAAGTCGTTTGTCTCCTCTGTCAAGTCAATATCTCAATGTCTTCTGAGTAATAACTCGTCCAATTGATATTCCTGTTCGTATTCCAGCTGGTAGTGTTGGACTGCGACACGATAAACCATCCGTCGCAGCTAGCGAAGACCAGTCTAGCGCCCACGATCGTCTATCTGAAGATCTCGTCGCCCAAGGTGCTCCAAAGGTTGATCAAGTCGCGGGGCAAGTCGCAGGTGAAGAACATGAACGTACAAATGGTGGCCGCTGAGAAGCTGGCGCAGTGTCCGTCGGAGATGTTCGACGTGATACTGGACGAGAATCAATTGGAGGATGCTTGCAACCACGTGGCCGAGTACCTGGAAGCCTACTGGAAGGCCACACATCCTCCGGTGACACCGACAGTTGCGCGACCGATTCCAGCGCCTGACGCACCTGTGGACGCGCTTACACCTCGCGTGACATCAGGTATGTCCGTTTGATCTGACTACACGTGTTGATTACGCTCGGAATACAGTCGTGGATCGGGTAGCTGACTGTTACGAAGTACGATTATTCTACGTGGATTTCATTATCGCGGAGAATGGAGTCGCTACCAGTGTTCAGGGGAGATTTTAACTTGTAGAAAACGGGCTCCGTTTGATCATTGTAGAGAGTACAGTAAATCATCGATGAGTGTTCGAACGTTTCATAGAGTGTTCAGACGTCATCGATGATTCACTGTATTTGTATTCGAAAAGATCCATCGGGATCTGGATTCACAATTGGGGAACATAGGCTGGTAACGTTTCCGTGATTGGTCGAATGATTCAGACTCGGCTGACCGGAAGGCCTGCGCGTGCCTCACCAACGATTTGGCAGTGTTTAGAGTACTTTAAAGTATCAGCTCCCGCGAGCTATTGGCCGTGTGCATCGCAAGATTTTTGTTTTGTATTACCGGTCCTTCTCACGGTACGATCCTTACCTCTATCAACCTGACGCGCTGGGTCATGAGGTTCTCTAGTACTCACTCGAGATACTCTAACGAGTTCCAATTCCGTCAACTAACGCTCAACATTTACTTCTTATCCCCTCAGGCGCCCACCATAATAATTACTACGGCCAAGAAGTAACCCAACCTTTTTCCCCGAGCGCAAAGCATATCGTACAACACATTCTCGTCCAATGTTTCACCGTCGCGCAGAGCTTTTGTGTTCCGTTACTCGCTCGATGAAACGCACCCACGAGCAATCAAAGATCACAGTGTGATGATTCCAGCGGAACAATGTTTCGAGACATTTTGTTAATACACGTTGATCCACCGTTTAATTATCTCGATTCTCGTCTCTGTTGGCGACATTCGAAGCTAGTAATGAAACACACTACCATCTTCGTCATTAGTTGCATGTAATCGTTGCATGGATCTTCGTAGTTGAGTGTAGAGGCGTTCATCAGGAAGACTGCTAGCGGCTGTGCATTTACCTCTCAGCGTGTAAATTACTACGAGACTTTCGATGTGCTGCATGTACCTCCTTGTATGCACATTGCAGATACGTTGTGACAGAGTTGTTCAAAGAACCATAATGTCTCTTTTTTTTCACTTCTTTGAGTATAAGAACACGAGCTAGTAGACCAAAACTAGCAGTCTTTGGATCATCAAAGAAACAGAAGCTTGAGGAATTAGAACGTTGACGACAACTGCTCGTGGTTATGCCAGATAAGAAGCACCGAGCACTTTTACATTGACTTTCTTTTCAGCGACTGCGTACGGATCGGAAAACTTGCATCAATCGTACCCCGAGATAATGGCGTGCTTGCTCTCGTTAGTTTCAAACATCTGTCATCATATTCTTTCTGTTCATTCTCTTCTCATCTCGTTTCTGCGCTCTTCCCGACCAAGATCGAAACTTCCTGTTTCTATTCATGAATCTCAGCGTTCATTTAATCTCTATCGATCGTCTGTATCATCTCATCTGCGGCTTACATCGTGCACGTTGCGCTGTACACTGTCCCGACACGAGTGGATTTTTCTCTTCACGATCAATTAGTTCCCTAAATACCGCCGCCACAGAACGATTTGGATTATTTATTGTACAGTAGCAAATGTATCGAAACTGGTGGTACAGTCTAGATACTGCGTACTACAATCCGTAAAAAAATTAAGGGATCGTCTCTACGAACCCGAAAAATGGGACTAAGTTCAAATTGTTGTAACTCCAGCAAACGTGATCGTATCGATATCATTAAAAAATCATTTGAAAGTGCGAAATCTCTACTGTCAGATGCTTCTTCAATTTGTTATCTATGGCCACAGGCTCCATGTTACCTTGCCAACAAGCAACGCAGTTAAAATCTTAAAACAGCATTTGAAATTAGAGATTCCACACTTTCAGGTGATTTGTTGATATCGATACGATCATTTTTGCAGGTAAATTTTAAATTTACATTACTTCACACAATAATCACTGCCAGTCCGGTCGTGCCACCAGTTAAGGACTCCAAACGGAGAGTAAACAAAATCCACAATAGATTGTAAACAAAAGTCAACGGTGTCACTGTGTCACAATCCACCGATTTGCTGGTCGAACTCGTTAATCCACGCGTGTTCCCATGCTAAACAAGACTAACGTCATACGGCTACTGTGAAGACGACGCCAGCAGAATCTCCATCCAAGAAACCCGTCCCCCTCGTCTTTCTCGTTCGTTCGTGATTACCACGTTCTTGTGTATACTCGAGTAGATCGAAAAATCGTTACGGTAGATATGTTTAAGTATCCAGACAAAAGCGAAAAGAAAAATGTGTACGACACGAAAAACGGGCAGGACGACAACACGATTGGCGACGAGCTCTGACTCCGATGTTCTCTTTGTTTACGTGTAAAAGCCATGGAGGCGGTGGCTGCCACGGGAGTCATCCGAAAACAGGGCCAATTCACCTATGGTCGGGGTGACGAGGGCAAGCCAAAAGAGTCGAGTTAAAAGAATGCTCGCGTCACGAGACGGCACACGGTCTGGGCCTAAAACGGCCGGCTTCTTCTACTTCCATCCTCATCCTGGATGAGATTTTACGGCATAGACCGGGTGAAAATTGTACAGTGGGGATCCTCTGTGTTTGCCCCCTCTCTCCTTATCGCGGGGACCGAGATTGACAGAGAATTAGAGACTGTGTGAATAGGGAAACCCTCCTTTGTGTGGCCGCGTAGTAAGTACACAAGATGGGTTTTGGGTTGCATGGGCCCGCTGCAACGGGACCTATCTGTTTCTCTTCATCAAAACAGAAGAATTTATGTTTCTGATTACTATTTTCTTTTTTTTTTTTTCTACCCTTTCCCCGATCACGTAAAACCTTCATCAAATTATACATTACTTACTCCCGTATAGTGTTACCGATTTTATTGACGTATGGGCTGTTGTTGTCCAAGAAGATGGAGAGCCACGAAAGCACTGCTTGCTAACAGAAGAGCACTATGGGGAATAAATATTGTATTCTTTTATCATTCAACGTCTGATCATTCTGTTTTATTGATATTTTGTTTCTCGGTTAGAATATCTCGGTATTCTTTGGTTCTGTTTATTTTTCTTTTTGTTGTTCTTTTTCGCCTGGCCATTCACCAGTCCCCTCTCACATAGAATAGGTTGATAGTATAGCCTAACGTGTTCGAGATTAACGGTGACTGTCCGTGTGAAGTCGAGAGGATACAAGTCTCGGATCGATTGGAACACATTTCGGTACGGCGGATCACGTTCTTTCGATCCTCCAAATCCTTCTTTTGGGACGCTGGCTTGTTTTTGTGATCCTTGACGCGGTGATCGTTTTTTTTTTTGTTTTGTCGACACGGATATAATTCATGGGGGATGAATTCCGTGGAGTTTTAACTCTTCCACTCGTCCGATCTCTGCGCAAAAAGGAGCTCGAGCGTTAGAGTCTCTTGCAACGTGTCTTCTCATTTTCTTTCCTTTTTTTTTTTCTATCGTTGTTCATTTCTTTTATATAGCTACCCTGCATGCACTGTGGAGTGAGGTGTTTCAGTGTTTCTAGATGTGACCACGTAGGTGGATTTTCATCTGATCCTTACCGTTTCGCGGTTGACAATTAACTGTAATCGGAATAACATTCTCTCTTATAATATAGTTTTTGAATAATACCAACGAGCGTCGATAAATCGCAAGCTCGACGTTGTCGTTTATATTTTAGAGCAATCTCTTTCGACAAGTCTCAAAATCAGATCATTCTTAACCCTCTAACCGTAAGGTCCGGGTCGTATCCGACCCAAGGTGTAGATTTTCTTGTGTCGTCCCCACTATATTATTTTTTATTTGTTTATTATTCGCATTTTAAAATATTTTTCATTATTTAGCAAATTGTTTAATACTTATATTGTTATATGTTATATAACTCAATTAAGAGCTTGGGTCGGAGCTGAACCCACCTTATCAAGTTTCTTATCATTCAAGGGTTAATTGAAAAAAATATAATCGCCACACACTGTCGAGCTTGAGTCTGTAAAATTCGAAAGATTACTGATTGTAATAAATGAAAACAAAATAATCACGAAAACTTAATCTCCCGAATTTTACTGAATGTTCGAATCACGCCTAACTTCTTCAACACAAACCGCGAACATAAAATTATCGTGATATTACGGAAGTTCAGGTCCAGTGATATTCAAGATTAATTGTTGAAACTAACGGCCGGTTTCGATGAAATCCAGGGTCTGGATCGTACAGCGGCGGACACGTGACCGAGGGCACGAGAAGATCGCGACTGGAGAGGATGGATCGTGATCGGGTGGATCGCGGTGAACACGACTACGGCACCGAGGAGGAATCGTACGTTGGTGGCGTCGAATACGACAGTGCGTCGAGGCGTCGCCAGCAGCAAGACCCGCGCGCATTGAACGCCATTTAGGAACTGGGGCCCCGGGGCCTGTCGCTACAGCGCTGTCCCCACCTGCGCACCACTGCTCTTTAGTGGGGGTCGCCATCTGGTACGCTACTGAACGTACGAATTGCTTAAGCAACCTTAGCGAATGGTGTCGCTCTGGTCTGTTAGTGGGGTTTCTTTCCTGTCGCTACCTGTAAAAGATGATTGAATATATCCGATTAGTGCTAGACACCGCATTAAACGGTAGCGAATATGCTACACTACGATATCGAAGGATTGGAAGAAATGGTCTTTCTTTTCGTTTGTTTTGTTTCTTACGCGTAACCGAATACCGTTACTGACAGAGATAGTAGTTTTCTTCGATTATCTTTTCTGTCTTTAGAGGCAATTATTACGCTACCGTACGTTACCGAATTTTTCTTTATTTTCATTTTGTTTTGCCGATGGTACGCACGGTATCGTACTTATGTCCTCGAAAGGTCTTGAAACAATTTGTTTTCTTGTATCAGTGGCGAATGCGCTACCGTTCGCTGCCGAACAATCTATGATAATTTGTTTTTTCTTTTTATTCACTTGTTGGGCGATAGTAAAATTGTTGTTGTAAAGAACAGATCGTCAAAAGCGTGCACGTGCACCTTCGGTAGAATATAATTTGAATTTCTTCGATAGAATCTGATTTATTTATTTATTTTGCGATGTAAGTATAGAGTATAATCATACGATATTCGAACTGTTTCATGTTACTTGCACGCGCGTGCACGCTACGATACACACTCCTTTTGGGACTACCTTGTACAAGCCTCGAAAAAAGTAAGAATAGTGAATTAGTGGTATCTTCTTTTTTTTATATTTTCACTAGAATCGACACATTTCCAACGTAAAGAGTACCCAAAGAATGGTAGATTCTATATGCTCCTGTTGTTTGAAAGTCAGTTGATTTTACACGATCGTTTACGAGTATCCGATAGTAACGTAGAATTGTCAAGTAGCTATTCTTGTATCCAGTAATGCTTTCTGTCCAACTTATTTCACAGACGTTAAAGATATCCATCATTTTCTCGTGCAACGAAAAACAGTGGCCACACGAGGACTCTCACTAACATTTTTGCCAACAGGAATTCCGCATTTGATGGTCGGGTTGAAACAGATCGTTGATTGTCCTTGTGAATCCGGTACGCACAGGATAAACCCCCATTCGCGGAACCAGCTGAACGAGATGAATAGACACGAGATAATCACGTGAGAACAAAACAAAAGTAATACACTTTCGAGAGAGAAAGAGAGAAAGAGAGAGAGAGAGAAAGAGTGAGAGTGTGAGAGGGAGAATGAGAGAGAAAGAAAGCCCTGGGGCCTTAATTTTTGCGCTGAATCTTCCTGGGCCCCAATACCCACCCCCACGAGAAGCGTAACATCTGATGAATGTCCAAGCACTTTGAATTAAGCTCGTGAATCGGGCGATTTTGTCTTGAAGACCCGAGAATCTTTCACGAAATTTGGCTAGACGATCTTTCGGATTAAAATTATAGAATCGGGAGGGGAGGCGAAGAAAAATTAAGAATGCAAACTTCGATCCGAAAAAGCGCGTAGAATTCTTCTAATTCGGCCGTGAAAACAACGATACAGTCCAGCTTCGATTTCGAGCGGAGTGGAGACGAATGTCGAACCCTAGTCGATACTTAAAATTAGAATCGGTCGCATGAGAAATTCTAGAGAATTAATTTCGGAGATGATGTCGCGACCTCGATTCGTCGTGAACGAGTGCAAACCGTGAAACGTGTGTGGCGATGGGTTGGGATCAGATTCATTAAATATCTCGGAATATTTGAAAGTTTTTTCGATTATACAGCGCGTGCTCGACGATCGCCGCGCGAGGCTGACGTGTTTATACATTTTATTAGAGTCTATTTGAGAAACATACAGAACACATACACACACGAGGGGATATGCATATGAATACACAGGACACACGCAGGAACACGTTGAACACGTTGTGTATATAGTATACATACGTAACGCAGTAACACTACCACCTTTATCGCTCGACAGAACAAGTAACTCCGATCGAGGTAAAGAGACAAAAGAGAAAAGAACAAAAAGATACTACCATAGATGATGAATCAATAGATACCGTGTAAATATTGTAAGAAGCCTTTCGAACGTGTCCCTTCTGTTTCTAACTGTCGCGAACGCAGACGAGGACAACGTTTAATCTACCGAGAATATTTGTAAGAGCGATCTACTCTTGTTTTTACGATGCACCAAGAGCATACACTACGACGGTAAAATATTTATCGAATTCATACAGACCCATGTGGCCAGATCATTTACATGCATAGGATTGCTCCACTTTATATTTTCAACGGCAACTGTGGCTAATTCTGATTCAGAAGTTGATACGAAGGTGTTACAGGGAAATTTTATGCTGAAAGAAATTAAACGCGAGTAACTTCAAACTTCATACCTATACATTTTTTACGTTACCTGTATCGATACAATAGGCTTATAACGTCTAAGAGCTTCGAAGTAACTATTTTTACATGTTCAAATGACATTACTTCGATAAAATCACAAATCGCTTTCTGAAAGTTTCTATGACTTCATTATTTCCACGAAATTATTATGTGAAATAGTAAACAAATATTTGCTGAATGATAAATTATATGAAAATGTAGAAAAACTATTGGTTTTTTCGGCGTGGAAGCGAAAGTATGTGAGTGGTTGCGCCTCCTCGATTATTCGAGGGGCGACATCGCTTGTGCGAGACGTTGAAGTCTCCAGCGTTGCGTTCAAGTCGCCGGAACAGCGCTAGTGTCAGTGCCATATTCATGAATTTATCAGACAAAGTTTCTAATTAGCAGTAAGGTGTTGCACAATCTTATACATTCTTAACTATACCTGCAACTTATTTTATATTAAATAATAGATACATTTAAGGCTTGTTTAAGGTCGATATTTTACGAATTTTCACGAATTTAGCATAGAATTTCAATAGCTTCCTTCACCTTTCAACTATTTCTAATACTTTCATTCGATTTACCAGTTATATAGTTAGGCATTTTACCATATACCTAAAGTTGACAATCCTATGCATGTAAATTCAATCGTGGCGACAGGTGAACACGTTGATCGAATTTTGATCGCTCGTGTACATAATTTGATTTTTAGAAACGCACGCATCACACGTTGTTTCTTAAGCAGAACGAATTAATCACCACGGGCACGCCGTTCGTCGCGGAATAGTATTGGCTTGTCGCACAAAGCCGACGTAGTTGAAAACAGATGAGAACACAATGTGTAAAATGAATTTCGAGTAATGAGAATTTAGTCACCTGACGTTGTCGTCTGTACATCGTTAGAATACAAATGTACGACACGAACGAAGTCTTTTTTTCTTCGCGAATACTTTTCGGGTCGACAAAAAACAGTGTGTGACGTTCTTGTGTGAATTTAGGCGAACTTTTCCATCATTTTTTTAACGCATTTGCGATCGATGGTTGGCACCAATTACGCCCAAATGATCGACGACGTCGGTCGATTGTTTCTTTTTCTGGCGCGAGGTCCTCCAATTTTCTTGTAGAATTTCCAATCTAGATCGCATTGGACCAGATTTTTTGCTTCATTCTGTCAAGATATTTGATTCGTACGATTTTTTGATTGCGGGAAGGAAGCACGGTTCTACCAGCGATTTACGATTCATCTTTCTTGAACTGTATCAGGGAATAAAAATAATTATAATGCGATTCAAAGCTCTTTAGCTCGCGTTATTCGTTTGCCATATTGTAATTAGTATAATTAAGTCGTCGATTTTCCGACGAAGTTCTTAAATGAATTTTATCGAGTCTCTGGTCCTTAGAGAATTATTCGTATTGAGACGATTGTGTCTTGAGTCTTCGTACGACGCACTTAAATGAATTTTCTATCAGCGCCACGAAGGATTAGGTAAATTGTACGTGCGAAGATATATTTTGCGCGTAACGCTTGAATGAATTTTTCTTAACACGGCGTGCCGCTTCTGATTTCGCTTGTCGACGTCGAAGGTCTCGCTATCACCTTTAAGGGGGATGATTTTTCTAAAAAAGACGAGAAACATAAAACGGTCGAGGAATGTTGGTTCCGTTCCAGGATCCTTGATCGCCGAGCAGAGGAGCAAACAGAGTTTCGCGAGAAACGATTATTATTCGGATCCCGATGATCCGAGGCAGCAACGGTCACTGGCCGTAAAATCATTTCGCAGCCAACTTGTATAAATACTAGGTGAAAAATATAACTTGGAAAACACGATCACTGGTGAAGTCTAATTTAAAAGATACTCACGCTTCCACTTCTGTATGAACGAGTTCGCCCTTTGTCCGGCTCAAGTGAAAGTTTTTTTCGGCGTCCATTTTGTCGCGCCTTGAATTAATCGAGTGTATATCGGAGACGAATGTGCCGCTACAGAATTTCTTTCGGTCCATTGATTCTTCTCGCGAATTGTCAACGAAACACGATCACGACGTTGTCTGCGATTTATTTTTGTCGTTTATCCGTTTACTCGCGTTGACAACGGTGAAAGTGACCGTTCGCGAGGGTTTAAGCCAAATGATTTTTAATCATAGTCTCGTAACAATTTCTCTTTAGACGGACCCAACGTAATTCAAGCGATCGATGGATGATGAACAAGCTATCTTAGCGACGGACATTTTTTACGATATTTTGTAAGAGTAAGATTTAGGCAGCGATAGAATATCCACGTCACGCAGAACCCGAAAACAAGAGTACGGTACTTACATGATGTGTATGTGTATTTGTACGTACATACAATGTCGTCACACAGAATGCAGAACCTACAATTGTCCAACACGAGAATCTTCGAAACCCTTGGTAATCCGTAGTGAACGAAATCTACGTAGACGACCTGAGAAGCTGATCTCGTCGGCTTGACACTTCAGTTTAGACGACCTTTAGCCGCTTCCGGTCCGTTCTTTCTTTCGATGTTATCGTGTAGCGTACGAATCTTGTAACGTCCGAAAATAGCGCGCTGAATTTATTAAAAGAGGAAAAAAAATGAGTAACGATTTAAAAAAAAGGGAGAAAAAACGTTGTAGCTTAAAATCGACAGCGATTCGGGAATATGTAAATCTCCGTAGTGTCTCCTAAAAACGATGTAGAACTTTCAAATCA